ATTATTGGAGAAAGACAATTCACCTGGTCTATCGCTTCTAAATTCAAGTTAGTTTCTCGGCGACAAAACTGAGCATTGTTTATCATTTTAAATTTTCAACTGAGACTTCGTTTGCCTAAAAAATTCTATGTAATATCGGATGTGAAGGTATCTGTTGCATCATATTTTCAAAATGCAGACAAACGAGGACAGAGTAACCTTTTTCATATTCATCAATTTATATTGAAAGTGAGTTGATTTCTTGTTTTTATTCATTAGTATGCCTCTTTTTGTCTTATGCAAAATTTAGAATTCGATATTTTAAATTTAGTTCCCTATATTAAAGAGTATTAAGGCTAAAGAGCGTAGAGTGCAGATCGTCTTTGAAGAAGCCCTTTCCCACGTAAATTAATTTTTATATCGCAAAAAAAAACGCCAAAATGTTTTTAAACATTTTTCGCGTCATTCTTGTCATGGAGCCGAATGTAAAGTCCTCGAGTTGGGACGAAGTTATTTCTGCAGTGCATACCAAACCCTGAGGCGAGAATAAACGTATTATTCCATCCCTTCAAAGTGGGTCGAGGGAGCAGCGGAAAATAGCAGGTTGCTTCCCAAGTATTACCCGGGTTGGGAGATGCGAATCTACCATAATTTCACGTCGGATTCCGAGAAGGAATGCGAAATTCTCTGCGCTGCGAGGTCGGCGAACCCGTTCTTGAGCCTGTGTTACATTCAGGACTTCATCGCCTTTCCTGCAGTCACGGGTGAGTCTTCTTTTGTTGAACGATTTGCAAATAATTGTCGTGCAAAAAATTAATTATTGCACTGAGTCAACCCTCAATTTAACCCTTGGGCGGCAAAGTTGGACTATTTTTGTGAAATTTTGTTGCCCCCAGAGAAGAAAAGAAAAAAAGAAAAACAGGGAGTTGAGGACGTATGTTTTTTTCCTTTTTGTGCAGAAAAAATTTGCAGGAAAAAAAATCATATGTTATGCATCAGGCTTTTTGCAAATTAATCCCGACTTTGCCTCAGCCCACTTGGAAGGGCTTTTCTGACCTTCAGAAAACTTGAAACGCCCCAAGCGGACAAAAATAATCCGACTTTGGCTGGCAAAGGGAAAGAACCCTCTGCCATCCAAGGGTTAATGCCAACCCCGCATAGTGCCACCAATTTCCCTTGAACAAATCTCACTCCATTGTGTTTTTTCAAAGAAACCCCAATTTAGTACCAACTCTCTTTGTGCTGCAAAAAATGGTCTCTCCTGAATGAAGAAAATAGGCCAAAACCAGAGAAAGTAAGACAAATTTGATGGAATATCAATAGGTTATCAATGAGAATCACATGCCCATGCTCAGAATAATTTCGAAAATTCACCTGTAATTGGGTGGTATTATTTGAACTTCCTCTATAGTCTACAGCAAAGAATATCTCAATAATTGGGTCAGTCTCTTCAAAAAATTAAAAAATTACTCTTCCTGATTGTGGAGTTGTGTGTTGTCATTGAAAGGTTGATACAAAACTGCAAGAAACAGCTCCACTCTGCTAATCGACCCAACATGTGCAAAAATCTAATACAGTATTATACATATATAATAATGCATCACAAAAATTGGAATTAAATAAAAACAGCTCATTTCAGCCTAAAATTACTTCCTGTGGCTTTCTTCCTAATAAAACATAAAAAAGACTCATAAGGGCTTTAAAATTCTTCAAACAAGCTTATTTTACCTACTGCATAAGTTCTCAATTATCATCTTCTCAGATATAATACAATACCTTTGATTTCATACCACCCTCGCTTAGTGCCACACAATGTGCCAGGACTAATGATGGCCTGAAATCGGGGTTTAGTTGACTGTATAATTATAATGAGGACCATTGTGTCATATCCGCAGCTGCGATGGGAACTTTATGGAGATTCCTGCCGATGGCGGACTCAGCAGTTGATGTTTTCCTCAGCAGAGATGCGGACAGTTCTTTGAGTTCTCGGGAAGCGGATGCAGTGAAGGAGTGGCTGGAAACGGGGAAAATTTTGCATGTAATGCACGACCACCCCTTTCACGGTGCTCCGATTTTGGGTAACCGACTTTTGATGTCTTTTGATGTCCTCAAAAACATTTATTCTGCTTCTTTGAAAAAAATAAAAGCTGAGAAAAGGCCTTTCGATGTTCGATGTAAAGTATTCTAAATATAATATACGGTTTTGTTTCGGGGAACAATCGGGTTCGTTGGTAATTCGGTAAGCGTCATTCGAAGTGCTATAATATAAATTTAATTATCCGGAAAATATTTGAATAAACGAATGTAATGATGCCCTCTGAAAGTTATTTCAATTACAGTATTTTTTTTAGATAGTAAAAAGAATTCTGATGTCCTCAGCAGAAAATCAATATTTCCAAATAGTAAAAAGAATTTTGATGTCTTCAGGAAATCATGGTGATTCTTCAAGAAAAATTGGGCTAACGTCTCTTGATATGCTGTTTTGTGAAAATTATACAAAAATTTCGGGGGAAAATGAGTAGTTGGGTAATTCGGTAACCGTCATTCCACGTACTCCAAAAGATTATTCAATTCTTTAAAAAAATTGAGCAAACGTCTCAAGATGCCCCGTGGTACAAAAATCATATCAATTTTTTGAAAATTGGATAGTTGGGTTATTTGATGAACGTCTTTCAACGTCTTCTAAACATGTATTCAAGTATTTTGAAAATAATTGTAGCAAACGATTTGAAACGTCTCTCGATGCTGTACAGTGCTAAAAAAATTGCATGAATTTTCGGAAAATAATTGGGTACTTGCGTATTTTGGTAAGTGTATTCCGATGTCCTCTAAAAAGAGTAATTATTTTTTTTTAAATTGCGCAAACGACTTATCCTCTGAAAAGTATTCCAATTCTTCGTCAAAAAATATTGGTGAACGAATTCTGATGCCATCTAAAAATTTCAATAATTATTCTTTAAAATTGGGGAAACGTTTTTGATGTCCTCTTGGTATGAAAGTATTTTATTTCTGCCGAGAACAAAATAATTCAAATCTAACGTACTCTAATTTATTTCACAGTGGCCCATGCGTTGAAAGTTTTTTAATTCATATTTTAAGATAAACATCAATACCTATATTTTTTTCCAAAAAATTCTTACGAATCGGTAACAGTTTTAAATACTGTGCTGTAATCAAATAGAGAAATCTCCATTTCGCTTTTCACGCATCCCGCGTAGCATAGTACTTCATGAAACTGTAAAAAGTACAAAAAAAAATGATGGCGCTCTGTACTCTCAGCAGAAACAGTCTCGTAGTTGTGTATAAAATAAATATATACTGTAAAAAATATTACAAAGAATTTTCCAGACAAAAAAAAACCGAAACAGTTATTAATTTCGTTTTCATTTCAGCTGGGATGTGGGGAGCTAATGCATCTCGGTCGAGAAAAACCAAGCAGTTACTCAGGAAAATGGCAGCTCAAATGGTGATCTCGTCCAAGAAACACTCCTACAAATCCTTAGACCAAGACCTGCTCGCAAGATACGTGGCCCCTCGGTTTTTTGGTAAGCTGGTGATAAACTAAACCGATCTATCACATCGTTTTCTGCATTTTCCGGGAAATCTTTGAAATTTGCCGTGAGTGCGCGAGAATTTAATAGGTTCTTCGTGACACTTTGGAATGATGAATGTGCCATGATGACGGGAATGCGATTTAAAGGCACCCGGACGTAATGATTGACTGCAGCAACTCCTGGGCATTTTCCCTTTGGATTTCTGAAAATCATTTTGTCGTTCCGCTATTCATCATTGTGTATAATACAGGACCCTCGAGGCATGTCGACCATGCTGCTTATTTGTGCAATTCGATGGGCTTCTTCAGCACTCCGTTTCCGACGCGAAGGAAATACCCGGACGACAGGAGTGAAACCCCCTTTGTCGGAGCCCCGCGGGGGACAGAAGGTTCAAGAGTCGGACTGCCGCCTTGCCCTAAATCGTGTCGACCTCTGAATGGCAAAGATTGGACTTATTGCTAAAATCGACAATTTTTTTATATGCGAATAAATAAACTTTCGGAAAAATTGCCTTGGCACCTTACTTATTTATTATAATTTTGAAACTCCGAATTCCGCACAGCAACGTCGCTCTTATTTTTAAATATTGTCCTGAAATGCCTCGTCTGAATCTCGTGAAGATTATACTGTACCGCTGTACGCGAATTATTCATGAAAAATGCTAATGTTTTCCTTGACACACCGAATTCTGAAACCATACTTATTTGAACTGATATGAGTCATAAGTAAGATGTAATATTCGATTAATACTTTTCAGACGAGTAATATTCGCGGAATCGATCAATCGACGCAACGCAAAATGGGCTGGAGCGATCTCTAGGAATGGTTTAAAGAACTTCAAAAAACATTTCATTCTGTGCACCACAGATGTCATTACTCAAGGATGTAAAAAAAATCGGATCTACGTATCAACCTAACGCATCTAATCTTTGGATTGTTATCAGTGGGAATCCAACCGTCAGTATATCATCTTGTGGTTTTCCATCACATTAATAAAATGCTTATATATCCCTAATTTTTATAAATTCAAAATGGGCATTATGGCAATAAGGTTAAATGGGGACTCTATTGAATCACCCTCTATGTGTGCTGGTCTTTAATAAAATATTTGATTCTACAGTAGTATCGTTCTGGAGAATTCAGTCTTAAAAAACTTAAGTTTATTGAAACATCCGTCGGTCACTATTTTTCGATAGAGACGCTGTGCACAATTAAATCGATCCTTCTTGCATTTTGTTTATCAATATATTGTCGCTCGAATAAATTTATCTCACGGACCTGCATAATAATCCACATCCTTTTCTTTTTCTTGGCAAATTTCGAAATTTCTCGCGGGGGAAAAATACCTCTTGACTCAGATGCTCTCTTTTTTTTAACATATTGCCAACTTTCGCACTTCCGCATCAGAGTAAGAAAAAGAAGAAAAAATCACCAAGATGTCCCACAGAACAGAGAGAGAAAAAAACGTCACCAGTGTTTGAAGGCAAACACCAGCAACGCGCAGAAAACACCAAATGCAATGAGGACTTGAATGGAAAATCCCATGGTTTGAAATCTCTCATGAAATCCCATCAATTCATCGTCTTCGTAATAAAGCTCAGATGCAGCCGGTTTCGCCTGATGATGACTCGGCCTGCACATATTTTTCAGCCCATCAGGGTCATTAATCTCCCGAGGACAGAAGATGCTTGAGTCTGGCCTGGAACATGTCCGCTGCTCATGCGAGCTATATATGGAGTAGGATAATCATGACATCAATTAGCAATTTGCATGCCATCATGGAGAACATCATCGCATCAAACCTTTACGGAAGATAAATAGATAAAAACTAGGGGGCAAGAAAAAAATTATTCACTGCAGTCGGAGCTTCTGTAGTTGAGCCAATAATCACAGAGCTTCATTATTATTCAAATTATAGAACGTTTCAATGAAAAAGCCTCCAATAGCGTCAATCGAATGATAATGACGATTCAATATGAGGAAAATCGTCACAAGATTTTGAGAAATCAAGAAAAGCAAATCTCAGGATTGAAACTTCTTCAGTTCAGGCGGACTGGATTTCCTCAGAGCTTGATTTCACTGAATATATTTTAAAATCTTATGTTAACACTTAAAAACCTTCGGGGAAATATTATGCAAACGCAAAAATAATGCGAATATATTAAAAGTTTATGAACGTATCCTTGTGCTTATCTGTGTCCAAATGGTAGGAAAACACGAATTTATTCTAACTTAATCCAAAAAAACTCGGGTTTCGCCCTAGAAAAAGCAAAATAATTCAAATCTGCGCTTTTCTTTCCATGCCGTACTTATCTATTGAACCGAAAGCCAAGAATAAATTTCTTTAAAAATGCCACTTTTGGCATTTCCGATAGAAATGAAGCTGCTTTTTAAATTCCTGTGAAAAAATAAGTTTCACTTCTTCCTGAAAGCCAGAAGGGCATTAACTTTTCCATATTGCAATCGACCCATATTTGATCTTGAAGTTCAATAATGCCAATATTACGTCATTAATCAAAAATGATATTCCTAAGCTTTAATAATTGTGTACAATATCCCGACAAAGTTCGACAAGACTCTCCTGCGGGACTTTCCGGTCGGTTTTAATTAAAAGCCCCCGGAATAATGAATCGACCATAAATGAAGTGAACTATCACGGAAACTCAAGAAAACACAGCTCATAATTTGAATGCAATTAAAAAATTTAATAACTGCGAAATTGACCTGAATCTCCTCCGCAAAGCAGGACCCGATTGACGCCATTCACCTTCCCGACTTTCACATCCACTGACAACGTCCAAACCCGGAGGGAGGAAAACCACGTTTGACACATCCTCAGTTTGCGATTGCTTGTCTTCAGCACCACCGCCGACACTGTTAGTCGACAGCATTTCAAGTGTCGATACATCGTCATTGCCAGCGTCGACTCTGGGAAATCGAGGTGTGCTCTGTTGCTGCTCGACACCGTCTCCGCAGGGCGGCGGTGACGGCAAAAACGACAAAAAGGATTCTTTGGGCAGATCCATGATGGGTTCTACGGGTTCGGAATTGTCGGACTTCTTGTCAGGAAATGAAGGTTCCTGGGCTGGACACATGTTCTTGGTGTAGGCCTTGGCACTGAGCTGCATCCGGTCTGGGGTGAGGTGGGATTTTGCAACTGCTTTCACCAGAAGTCGCACAGAAGCCCATTTGAGAGAGTCTGGCAAGGCGCGCTGTTAATTTTTTTTTTTGCGTAAAAAATTTAGTAATAAGACAATTCAATCAGACAAATTCTAGAAAACTTTTGGACGGGAATTCAGGTTTTACAAGCTCAGGCAGCAAGTTCAAATACTGCACACGTCAAAGACACGATTACGACATTGTTTTCCTCGGTGATTTATTTCGTCTTTCTCTCCAGAACAAATTAAAATTCATGTTTCATTCAATATACTCGTCAGATGGTCTTTAATCGTGCAATATGGACTCGATATAATCGGATCTTTGTTTACTACACTGCTTGACCTTTTCATAAAGATTAATTAAGTTGATATGCACGTGGTCTAATAAATACGGTAAATCGATTTTGGAATACCAATTTCATCATAAAAGCAGAAGCTTCGACGCAGAAAATCTTTCAATCGAAGTTCATTGAACTATCTTTTGAATAGTTTCACATTCTGATATTTTAATTGTAGTATTGATATGCTGCCATCACAAGCGTATTTGAAATGCTCCTCCTCTAAAAATAAATTAATACTTCAACATAATTTATTTTTTAAAGCTGCCGAGAAAGAAGAGAGAGATTCGGATACAATATTATTCTCTGAGCAAATCATCACCGAGTCTGCGTGTGCACATTTTTTGCATGAATATAAGCGGAATCCATTCGGTATTCCACCATGAGAAGACGTTTTCCTCGAGCAATGAAATGCAAAGTTGAAGAATTATAATTTTGTCCTATTAAATATCAACATAATTTAAAATATGAACCAGAACCAAAATTAGTTGGAATCGTAATTCTGTTAATAGCCATTAGATGTAAAATAAATGTAGCGCATATAAATTCTCTACAATATTTTAAAAATAATAATTCTGCTCAAAAAATGTGGCGTTTGGAAAAATAAACTGTGGTGACATTGACACGTACGAGATAACATTAATTTCAATGGGCTCTGAAATACCACCCGAAACAACGAGATGTTGGCCTGGTAATTGGGTGTTCCCCAACCATCAGTTTTCAGAATGGAGTTTTTCTGCGAGAGTCGGTCCTTGTCACCGTCAGCTCGGCTCACCTCCATCAACCTGAATAAAATCATTAAGCGATGAATGACGTGGAAAATTATTGATAGCTCGATATTGCTAAAATTCGAGAAAATTTGCTCTTTTGAAATCTATCTGCTTGATCTTTCGTGTAAGTTTGTGTGTGTGTGTGTGTTTTTTCTGCTTGGAAAAATGCGCAACATATTTGCGTGTGTCACATTTTCAAGATATTTTTTTGTTCGTCCAATTATTTTGATTGTCTTACGTATATTGAACAGCCTAATCTGTATTTCTGACATGAGAGTTTCCTTCCATGAAAAACAAAACAAAAACAAAAAAACAGATCTAATCATAAACCCGAAGCAAGTCGCAATAGTCTGATTGAAGAGACAATAATAATCCAGGATTTCACATGAAAATTAATCCAGGATTTTCCAGAATTGACCATGTCTTGTCAATGGATTTACACTCTAACCAAGTTCAAAGAAAAGCTACTTTAAAATAAAATTATACGAAAAAAATCGTTTCATAAAAATAAGTATTATACCTGTAAAATGTATATATTGATGTAGTTCATACGGTAACTTCAGAATAAAAATCAAAATTTTCAACGCACATTTTGTTTTTCTCAAAATGTGCTCTGCATGACATATCCAGCACATGAGAACGTGTTACATAAAGGGAAATATTCGTAAATTATTCACTTGAAGATGTAGGATGCAGATTTTAATGTAAAAATTAGGGCGCTTCTTATATTTAAAGATATTGCTTAGAATTACAGGATGATTGGTTATGATTATTTCCTCTGATCAAGATAATCAATGGATATCACTTGTAGCCTGTGAATGTTATCATTGAAATTAGATGAAGTTTAACTAAACCTTCCGAAAAGAATCTTTCCTTACTTTTGTAAAAAAAAGCTTTTTAATAAAGGTTCCCTATAAGTAAATAAATTGTTTTCTTTTACTTTCAGATAAAATCGCTCTTTACTTTCGCGGCTAAAAAAAAAAGAAAGAGAATATTATAAGGGTTAAGCGTCCTGTCTCCCAGCAATTACAGTACGTTTTTCCAAATAAATAAATATAAAAAAAAACCTGTAGGAATCTCGGGCATTCTTTTCCGTTTCCGTGACGAGCTCGGCCACTTTGAACGGTTCCAAGTAGGAATTCTTCGCAGCGTGGGTCATGACCTGATGCCAGCGACTCGTCTTCACGGTCACCATGGTTTCGTCCGGAAACAAATCTGCACACAGGCTCACGTCGTACACACAGTCCCGGAAGACCATGAACTTCCGACCGGAACAGCAAACAGCGGCCAAGTCCAGCTTGGTCAGACTGCTCAACGACGAGTCCAGGTCAGTTTGCGCGAACAGATCGTCCATCCACCGATTGATATCGCCTCCGGGGACCTACGAGATGTTGTACAATACAGTATACAGTATTATCATTCTTGAGGGAACAAAATTGTTGAAATCATGTCCCGAATCACTTCGAATGATACTGGCTTGGGAATTGCATGGACAATCAAACGTTTCCGCGGTGATTTTGGTAATGATGGGGGGTAAAAACCAGGCCAGGGAAAATTTGAAAGCGCGGGATTCACGCGTGCGGAACCAGCGGGGCAACTGATGTGTACCCATTATTACCAGGATGCCCATTATACTCGTCGATGGAAAAATCTAACATTTCTTTTCAGAGGAACCTTGCTGACAAAGGAGTCGTGTCGAGCGATGGAAACGTGAAACTCAACCACCGAAATGCGCAAGAGTTATACTCAAAGAATTATTCAAACTGGAAATGAGTTGAAAAGGTAACCAGCAATATTTTATTTCTCTGTGTTCAATTCAGATTAACAAATAAAGCAAGTTTATAATTTCCTTCCACATTGCTCGAAGATTCAGCGAAGACACATATGTTCCCTTGAAAAAGGTCTCAAAAGTCTAAACTATTCATCACTAGATTTTTTTTTTCCAAGAGGTAATTCCTTTGTTCAATTACAGTATTCGTTGCTCAACAAGATCCACTCCCAGCTAGAAGGTATTTGCAAAATGAATATGCATTAAATTCTGGCATTCCAAATAAATTCAAGGGTTATAGGATTGTAGCTCTTTCAGGAAATAATATAATATCTGGCTTTCTGTCGGATTTTCATAAAATTACTGTACGAGAAAACGAGTAAGCAAGTAAACAATATCTCAAAGCAAAATGTTCAAGTGTTTTAAATTCAATCCAGTTAAAAACAATTTTGTGTGTAACCCTGAAACTGACCTGGTAAGGAGGTGATAATTGAGCCTTTTAAGTTTCGGAGTATCACAGTTCTTGATGTCAAGGAAGATAAAAATGCGTTATACAGTATATTATTAAATCGGGAATTCCAAAAAATTCCGAATCATGGTGTGGTGTTAATTTAGTACGTCAAGGTATCTCTGGTATGCATATAACAGCTGATATCCTTTTGACTTACACTCACTTGTGCTCCTTTCTTATACAGAATGTGTTTAAGCGTGTCACATGAATTATATCTTATGGTGATGGATTTCTCTGTTGTAAAAATTTGTTGTGGAAATGTATGCCTCACTTTATATATTTACGTGCATCTTAGAATTACAGGTATGTGTTATGACCAAGACGATCTGAAGAAAAACATCAGCGCCTGAAATAATCATTTATTTTCTTCGATTGATTTAAAACAATTTGGTTGAGCATCCGAGATAAATGTACTGTATTCATCTTTGCCCTCTGGATAGTATTGTGAAATCCTACTGCTGCAGAGAATTGCAAAAGCGCAAAAAAGGCTTTTCAAATCTTTAAATAAAATACCGTCTTAATCGCCACGGGAACATCGTCTTCCGGAAACCCGTACTTGTACTCCCTCAACTTGTCATCCAAGTCGTAAATTCGCAAATCGAACGGAGTCGTCAAGTCCGCTGCGCAAATTCCTCGCAAACCTCCACAACAATGCCCGTCATTCGACTTCAAATCCGGCACCCGAACAGCTGCCAAATTGCGCAGAAACAAGGTGGGGTCTGCTTTCAGCCCGTCTTCAAACCATCTCGGGGCCCGGATCGGGATCCCGTTCACAATGAGCCACGCAATTTCCTCCAGCCCGTCCCGGGTTCCGATGAGGGGGCCCTCGTAGTCGTACCCATCAGCCGACGAGAACCCGGCCAAGCTTCGCTCTGAAGAGGCCCGTTTCAATCCGGGTCCGCATTCCGATAATTTGACAAAGTTGGGAAAGGAATGAGTGCGGGACAGAGCCGACGTATGAGGAAAGTTGACGAGGTCGTCGTAATCCAGAGCTGGGTCGAAGCAGCCACATTCTTCGAAATCCATATTTTATTCTATTTTTCAAATTGAAAATATTATTTGAATATATTTCTCTTATCAGGGCAGATGGAAATAACGAGGGGATCTTGCAAAGGTTTCCCGAGGCATGCGCATCATGATGAAAAGATTAACAAGGTTAATGTCATCAGAGTTTCATGGCAGTAAACCGTATGCGTAAAATGAGTAAAACCCCTTGAGAGAAGTTGGAAGAAAGCTCACCAATAGCTGATTATTATTCCAAAATGTCGAATAATTCGCTCATTGATTTCTGCCTGATGGAATGACAAATATTTTCTGAGGCTACCAAAAAATAGTTGCTGTTCATTCTACTAAAATCTGCTCGTATGGCTTACATGCAGGTATACAGTAATTGTGACCTCTGCATTAATTCCGAATTTCGTGTGTTTTGGTCTGTTAATTTTATGCTTCACTTTGCGACTTATTCTACAGTGTGTAAGTATGAACCTGTTGAGTGTTTTTGAAGCAAATTAATGGGAAATTTTCTTCACCTAAATCCCAGGAAGAATTTCTTTCCATTTCATTCCCCGCGTAACTTTCCTAATTTTTCTCTTCGATATAAAAGTTGATGGTTCTCAGGTTACCGAAACTCAAGCGTTTGAAACTTAATTTACTTCAAATAAATCTGCATAATGTGGATCAACTCAAGAAGCTCTGTCGAAAATTAAAACGAATAAATCGAAGATTGGCATGTTTTTTCATTAAGAGATAATGCGGAAAATCAATCTTTTACGCGTCCTTATCCTTCTTATAATCGCTTACTTTTTGAGTAATGTATATCTGTATAGCTTTGCATAACCATCATTAAGATTTGGAAATTGTCCGGGGAAAAAATGCTGATGAAAATCATTGCAACAAAATCAAAGGACTCAAGGTTTTGTTCCACTTTAACGTATAATCTGTATCATGTTCTCGACGGTTAGATTTTCCTTCCGAAACTTGGATTTCACCACATGGACCATTCGGGCACCAAAATATTCTTTAAACAAGAAATATTCTTATTAAAAAGATGAGACTCTTGGATAAATAATATCACCCTAAAAACTCACCAAGATCAAGAGAACACGTGAATATTTTGTCGTGAAATAATGATGTTCATCATCTTAGGCAAAGTGCCAAATACCATTATAGGTTAATTAAAAATATCTTCATGCAGACAAAGTTCGGTAAGTTGCGATTAGTTTAACTTGTAATTATCTCGACAAGTTTTGACAGATAGAGAAATACTATCGCGCGACATCTGCCTGACCTTTCAGAATGAATCGAAATTGAAATGACCATGCTCAGTTTTTGAGACAGCAGTTCTCATTCGTCGTTCATGGCCTGAAAATTAGAGTTACGCTTTCTAGGAAAAAACAGAAATAAAAGGCTTCACCCCGGGTTATTATCGTAGACCCAATCCAGGAATTCAATTTTGTTGTTGCATAAATCAAAGCCTTTATTGCCACAACCGAATGGAATATTTTGATCGCGCTTTCTCGTCTTCGTAGACTTCACTTTAATCTTAAAAATCATGCCGTATCTGCAGTTTCTCTTATGATCGTGATTGCATAATATTGTCAGTGCACTTTTACGTATCGTTTTCAAAATCGTCTTCCTGATCTTCAAGCAGCGTTTCAATGTCGTTCTCGTCGTCACACGACCCTTGCTTCGCATTGATGGCTTTGCCTCTGATGTTGTGCTTGAATAACTGCTTGCTGTTCCGGTCTTGGTCGCGAGTCGATGATGATTTTCCGGAAGTATCGGTGGACCTCTCTCTTCCTGAATCCGCGACCCGTAGATCCATTTCCTCGTCGAATTTGGCCGAGGAATCTTCGAAACTGCCGAGACGAATTTTTGCACCGGTTGTGGGAGTCGCTGGTATGAAAAGTGCATCTGCTTCTCCTTGTTCGCTGTCATCGCTGCAAGTACAAGGGAATAACAACTGATTTTTTCTCTTGAATTGGTCATTAAAATTTTGTGGTTATTGTACTTCCTTGATTTCATCTCATTTATTTGTTTTTGATATTTTCTCAAGAGATGAAGAAAACGAGAAAATCTAAAAGTGAGGGGCTAGTTTTAAGCCCCGCGGATTTTCGGGAATATTTTAAAATTTATACAGCGTCACAAATGTAATTTTAGAGCACCAAAAATGTTTTTAAAATTATATGTTTTTAATTGCATGATTTTTAGCCCGCATATTTGGGAAACAAAGAATCACCGGGATTTTTTCAGAGGAAGAACAGAGATATTAGCAAATAAAATGTCCCAGTTACACACGGCTATAAATGGCTCATAAGCAGTCAACCGAGCAAAACGTTGCCATCAGTCATATATCATGATTATTCGAGAATTCTCTCTCGAATTTCCCACGATTTTCTGACAAGAGGAGGAAGAAAAAAAAAAGAGTTTTCCCGGATATTGAAAAAATTCAGCTTTCATGACCCATTCCATTTCCAGCTCACCCGTGATAATTCGTTCTTGCTTTCATACCTAAATCTCGCAGTCTAATATTCTAATCTATATGAGTAGATGCGTAAAATCTATCGCAAATAGTTCATGCTGTTATATATCATAACTTGTTTAACGATATTTTCTTCTGCTTCTGATACACCGTTTTGAAATGTAATTCAATGCCATCAACTCACGCCTGAATGCAATAAACCTCGTAAGTCAAGATCGTGTCATTGATTTTATTGATAATTAACAGGAATTGAAAGTGCGACTTGACTTTCAATCGAAAATGTTGTTTAGATAGTAAAAGGGTTGAAACACCTTCCAAAAATGTGTTTTGTTTTTGGACTGTGGAAAAAGTAAAAAAAAAAAATCTTTCCACCTGATTTTCAGAAATTTAATCCGCAAGAAAGCATTCCTTATCGATGTAGTCATTGCCTCGATTCCCGATATTGGAATCAAATTTCATTGAACCTTATACTGTACAAGCAAAGCCTCCAATTCATAAATAAAATGCCACGCTAAAGTAGATCTCCGATAAGAGCGTATCGCTTTATTGTAGTCCCAAGAGGCCAGAGCCATTGAAATCCCCTTCAACTCAATCCAGGGTTTGCGATTTCTCTGTCGATTGATTGATTCATGGGTTGGGCAGAGAGGGATTTTAATGCCGTCGAGGGACTGAATATAACTTTCCAAAGCTAATCTTTAACCAAAACATGTTTTTTTTTTCCTACACGAGAAGCAGAATTTAATTCGAGTGCGGAATGTTTTATTTCTCACCGATGAGACGCGGCAGTGCTACTATCACGGCCTCCTTTCATCCGTTTGTTAGCAACGGAAATGGCGAGGAAAACCAGCACCGCCACCAAAAGGACCACAACTCCACACCCTGCCGCAATTTTCCAAACAAAGCCATTTATTTGGGGGTTCTCGGAACCCATCCTCGGTGATGGGTCTGCTGTGGACTCTGTACTTCCGCCAAACTTGGCGTGTCGTCCTTCTGCACTGACGGGTTCTGCTGATGCTGTTGTGGAAGATGCCGTGGAGGTTTTCGTTTGCTTGCTTAACATTGTTGCAACAGTGCTCACAGGAATGCTTTCGGTTGGTTTTCCAGGCAGAAGTGCTTTTTCTGACGATATAGGTGAAACTTCTTTTGGTTTGGACCATGAAACAGAAACAGGAAAAACTTTATTCGCTAAGGATGAGGCAAATAAATTGGGGGCAGTCTATGATTTCGACAGCAACAACGAAACCGTGATGAATATTTAATTTCAGAATGCCTTTAAACAAATCAGAAGTTCATGTTCATCAGCGGGGTTTCTTTTTGAAATTTAATTGAACGGTTACCTATAAGAATGACATGTACGAGGTTGATATCAACATTTTTGTCATTTTATTTACAGTTTTTTCCCTCTCCAGTGCCTTGGATACATTGATTGAGAAATACAAAGATATTCGATTGTTGGTGCCTCGGATGCATTGATGGAATAAATCTAATTTTTTTATAACATTATTTGGCCACTGTAATGAAATGTGATCACAAAAGTTGAAATGTATTGCAAAAAATTGAAAAGTGAAAACCTTTACAGTGAGGAAATGAATACACGGGCTTCCATGAAGAATTTTGGAAGCTTTATAAGTGCGGAAAAATCTATACGAAATATTTGCTTAGCCTCCTTGGTGTTGACAATGTTTAATATTTGAAAATAATATTAGAACGAGAAAAAAGAGTAATTTTTCGAACTAGCAATTCTGAATGTGCAGTTTTTACATGGGAAGCCAACCAATGATCAAGAATATTCACCATAACATAAGACTTCAATCATATTATACGAGTTAAATCGTTAAGAAATCTTTGTCAATAAACACAGGAACGGAAAAATATTGCATGTAGACGTACGAGACAAAGGCCGAGCTGAGAAATCGATAGTATCATCCGGAGTTTATATTAAATCAAGTATTGTATTTCTTTTTTAAAAAAAGTACCTTCACTTTAAAAAAGCGAAAGAGGCCCGTATGCAAAATTGTTATCAGGAGGCTGAGAATTCGAGTTCAGCCTTTTCGCAATTTTTTTTTTCATGTGAGGTTTTTTGCAGGTACGGGGTTTTTTTTTAAAGAATTTCAGGAATGACTCAAAAACTAGTATAACCCGAAGAATTTTCACGGTGACCCTTTTTTGCCTGGGGAGCAGGAGGAGGATAGTGGATTGACAAGAGACAATCAATTTCTACAAATCTGCTCAGAAAAAAAATAAAAAGAAATTATCTTCCAGAGTTTCAGTGATCCCCAAACATCAGACCATGAACGTACAATGTGTAAGGGAATGTTCAAGATCGGACTTTCATCTCTTATAGAAACAAATAACCAAACCACTTTATCGTTGTTCGGAAGTTTATTGAGTTTGAAGTGGAACTTCTCCGTGATCAATAATCCAACGCAAAGTAAATACTGTACTACAGTGCATTGAAATAATCCATGAAGCACTTTTAGGCAATTTCAGGGATAAAACTGATTTTCGAAGAAATCGTGAGGATTCTAGAGTCGTTATAGTCCATAGAAGCATTCTTCCGCGTCATCTGAAGACTCTTCAAGGTATATCTTCCGACGAATTAAAGGCTCTTGCTGTGCAAGTGAAAGGCATTGAAAGAATCTTCCTCCCTCATTTTTCATACTTTATTTTCGATAAACTTGATGAATTGACGCCATCTTTCACCATATCCTCTTTATAGTGCCAAAAAATCATCAACGGCAGATGGCGGGAAAAAATAGCTCATCGTATTGATCTCTCAATCCAAGGTCAACCCTATATGTTTCCCGAACATCTGGCAACAATATGTGGAGGTTATGTGGAACTTCAGCGAAAAAGGTCAGCTATGCTAAGCCCAAAGGCTTCTTGGGGACGATGAGTTCATCTCAGGACGATGATGGAACTCAATTCAGTCGATGATGACTAAGTCCTGAGTCCTTCATTTTCTTGCACAACACAAAAATGCCCGCCCGCCAAAAAATTCACCCCCGTGAATGCATTTCAAATCTTCCTAATTCGAGATTTTTTTGGCTAAAATAACTTCCCTTAGTCAATTTTAAAAGTCTTCGTAAAATTAACTTTAACCTGAGTTACATAGGAAACCTTTTTCATGAAACCACGAAATTAAATGCTAATTGATGCTTTATTTTCCTATCGGAATTAAGGCTTTCTATCTCAAAGCCTTTTTCGATAAAACCTCCCTTATTATTAAATTCTAAAAGCCTTCGTAAAATTAATTCTGCTCGGAATCATAAAAAAAGTCTCCCAGAAACCCAAGAAATTAAATCATAATTGATGCTTTTACCTGTGTATTACAGGGAAAATTTCGACAGCTAATAAATCTATGATGAAAAATTCAAAAATATTCGCTATAAACAATTCTTTCTTGAATGGTCTGCTTGCATCGAGAGAATTCCAAAACTCCTAAACTCATCTTCAAGTGAATTTTTTTTAGAGGCCAATGGAATTTGACTGAAAAGGTGTCGCCCCCGCTTTTTAAACAAGTTGAATAAGTATGAAACTGCCCCCCGGGATGAAGTTTACCTTGTGGAACCCGGGTTGTGGGTTTCGTCGTGGGTACGTTAGGAGCTTGTGTTCCAGATTCAGCAGCTGCAGTCGTTGACTTTGACAACGACGCGGTCATTGTCTGCGCTGAAGTTGGCATTGTGGATTTTTGCGTGGGATTATTACTCGTACTTTGTGGATTTGTTGAAGTTGTAGCTGTGACTTTTTGGCTGACGTTCGTCGCAAATTTATTCCCATCCGTACTCAAGTCTGCGAGATAAATAGTAAAGAGGTCGTACAGGGTCACAAAAATGCAATTATACAGATTTTCACAGTGGTATCTCTTTCTCGAGGATTTGAAACTTCTGTTTAACAAGCAAAAAAAATACTGCACGCGCATTAAAGTTCTTTCGATTGCATCTATAATATACGCGTTTTAATCTTGATTTATTTGGATTTTATATAAAAGAGTATACCCATGAAGAGAATGTGCTTCATGTTTTCTTGTTTTAGAAAATTCGTTCAAAAATTTAAATTTAACGCTAATAATCTATCGGAAACAATATGGCGTATATCAAAATAATTTTTTTTCAACAACAGATCGCATTAAATTTCATTTTATTTGTTTGCATTATGCCTGTATCTAACCGATGTTGATAGATTCTATTGTAGTTCATTTCACGATTGTTTACAATTTTTTTATCTGAAAATTGCATCGTAACGAGGGTTTTCAACCGCTGTGCAAAACATAGCAATGTAGGCACTCGATATTATCCAAAACTTAAAAGTTTAGAAAGAACTGCAATAAAGCTGTTTTTGAAAAGAGTGATGGAGGCATCATAATTACAGTATCTTTTTTCAAAAATTCAAATCCGGAATACGATCATTTCAAGAATGTCTGAACCGAATGGAAATATGAAAATAAGTCACCGCAAAATATGCTTCTTAGTATGATGCAGGTGATCATGCGTAATATGAGTCTGAGGCAGAAAGAACTACTTCTAAAATTTGCGAATGATTCATTTTTTTTTAGCTTGCAGATTCAACTAATCAGGAAAGACATTCGTTTTTTTTAAATTCAATTTTCTCAAATGTTGGTCCACCTCGGATATTATCCTCACGTCTCACACCTGATCGATAATCATGAACCTCTTCGAAACTTTCAATGCTTCCAGAATTTCTATAGACAAATAGAATCTTTAGAGAAATCCTAGAGATATAAAGAAAAAAAAAAACAAGATATCTTCTCACCCCGACCAGAACTTGTTGTCGGCGATGGTTCCGTGACTAAAGTTGCAGTTGAAGTTGCGTTCCTGGGTGCTGTTGATGTTTGTTCCACATCCACAAGTTTGTTCTTGCATGTGTTATTGTAATCCGGACAACAGCGAAGTTTAGTGTTTTCCAAATCCGAGTTACATCCCAGGAAGCAGAAGCAGTTGAAATTTAATGTTTCCCGCCCGAGAGTGGAATTGCAACGACCATCGCAGGAATCGAATTCTTCCGGTGCTTTTTCAAATGAAAGTTTTTGATTTCAATTCTCTCCTTTTACCGTCAATTATGCGATAATTGAAACATAAAACGCTTGAATAGATGAATAGCGCTAAGTTAAAACTCTGAAATGTTGCGTCGTAAACCAACGTAGGCAAGACATTTTTGTAGGTTTAAATTCGAAAACTAGCTCTGTGAATTGAGAAAAATTCGAAAGTTCATTCATTGAAATTGAATATGAAAGACATTCAGTTATCGTCATTGTCGATGAAAAAAATAATAATTTGGCGCTACAGCAAAGATATACAGTAATTTGTGAAAAAAGTTTGCATTGACACATGAGGATTCATTTTAGATTAGATATAGTTATGCGCAGCAGTTGAGTATTTTTTTGTCAAATCTCGGATGTGACCTTCAAAATTGATTATTGGATTATTTCATGAATTTCGGCCCGAAATGAAAGCCTATAGCTAAACAAAAAAAAAACAGATAACGCTGTCGAAGGAAGCCGTTTCGTCCATTTATAAATTTTAAAAAATTTTCTTGCAAAATATTTCACCCTCTTGTTTCCAAAAAATTATGAACAGTTCAGATATTAATTTCCCGGAAAGACATTTCGTGAAAATCGGGACTCTTGAGGCTCGATTTCTGTATATTTTTGAAAAGGAGATGTAATTTCCAGCAATGATATTCTTCCTTGGCAGAATTTCAAATAATCCTAATAAATATCTTTACTTTCAATTCACTTAAAAACTTTGCATGTCAGAGAGTTTGTACAATGTCCGTCATTTGGTATATGCTTTCCCGTCTTTAAACAACCCCGAATCTCAGAAGAAATTACAAAAAATTATCTCGGGAAACCTCCTGTTTTTCTTTCATTACGATGGGAGTGGTGCTGCAAAAATCTCAACTCACGAGGAGCAGTTTCTTGTGGACTGCAAATTGCTCCGCTGGAAATGGCGAAGTCGTCAATTGCGATTTCACTGTACCGGTCTCTGCCCCGTTTGCCTTCCACAATCACCTTCGTTACGACCACAAATTTCATCTCGGCGATCTCGTAGATTTTTTTTTTTCATTCTCAGAAAATTTTGAGCACTTTGAAAAATGAAATACCTGGAATGGTTCGGTGATGTTCTCCAAGGGAACGATGGCTCGCATCCAGTCCGTGTCTGCTGCTCCTTTGTGGGTGAAATTCGGCTTCAAGTTTTCCAGGGACTCTGAAATCCGCTTGATGTAGATTCGAAGTAGCCCTGTGGAATAAACAAAGAACTTTACCATGATTTTTGCCCTTATAGAATTAATGTATAGAAATGTTCATCAGGAAATTGTGATTGAGTCATATCTATTCATGGCAAGATCAATTTTCCCTTGCTTTATCCAAAAACTTTGGGGCTGCACGTAACATCGCGAATGGCTTTTCAAATTGAAATAAAAACATGTTAGCCTTTGTCTATCTCAAAAGCTTTCTTCCTTGATATTATTCTTCATTAGTTTTTTTTTTCGTGTGGAGTAGATTCAGTGTATAGCTCGTGCTTGAAAAATAGTCCAGAGACATATCTCGGGGCTCCAAAATAAAGATAGGCTTCTAAGGCATTCCCTTTGACTTCATCGCGATGTCGGTTGAATAATGAAGCATTGCGTATTTCGTGTACTACACTTTTTGACATAATAGCCCACAATCTTCTAGAAAGGTCGAATACTCTTCACATTATCATTTATTCAATTTTTTCCGCACAGCGAACGGCATACGAAGATAATTAATTATTTTCCCGCATTAATTATCTTTTCCTCCCGATGCGAAAAAACATGAATTATTTTGCCGCATGCTTCTCTACACTCAGGACTTCAGGAGAGCCATATTCTCTGTGTGAATAGAGATCATCCATGAAAGTCTTTCAGAATCAAGATACAGTATACTGGAAAAATAAAATAGCTACCGTATCATTACACAGTACTGTGCAGTACAGTACAATATATACTTCAGATATACCCCGGTATATAGAGGAAACTGAAGATCAGTTACACATCAAAGCAATTTATTTGATCAAAGTAACCAAACGTGATCTATCTCTTCAGTATCAGCTTACAAATCCACAGGAATTTCCGAATTAGGCTGAGCTCTCTTTGTGTAGAACAAGAAACGTGATAGATAGAAANACGAGCCTCGCTGTGTCATTACTCTCTATGCCGACCAAATTGATGTATAGGTAGTGACCTCCCGAATCCTTGAAAGTGTGGTCGAACGTGGGTCCAGAACCCGGTCGAGGTCGTTCCCCGGCTGAGTGAAGGTTCCAGTCGAAGTCGTGCCCGGGATCCGGCATCAAGCCACACATGCGACCGTACTCACTTTCGAAATTGCACGCCCATGGGCCTTGAACCACTGGGTGTGCTGATCAAACCAGAAACCTCGCAAAATTAATTGAAATATAATACAGAGAGGAAGCAAGAAAAAAAGCAATTGTGGTGGCTCATCTGGAAACTAGTCTGAGTACAGCAGTCCGATATTCACAAAAAGAGCCCAGAAAAAAATGATGTTCAAAAAATTGGAGAATTATGAAGCACAAAATCCGCGGAGAAAAAGTGGAAGAAGACTTTTTAGAACAAGACTGAAAGAGAAGAAATATCACTCCTAAATCCTAATAGAATGAAAACTTGGTAAGACAGAACTATATGACATGTATACGAAAGAAGAAAGGAATTACAGAAATCCCTTGTCCATAGTACAGTTTTTCTTTGGTAATACTGTATCATTATTCAGGGAATTCATCTGTTGTTGCTTTTTATGCACACTCAGAAGTTTTCCTGCATTTGTTTCTTCTTGATGTAGGTGTCGCTGGCAGTTAACTTCATTCATCCACACTTTTCAGTGAGCCTATCTTTGAAAGTAACAAAACATTGCTAATGATTTGATTTAA